CCTCCTCCCATCTCTCCCCAAATCTCAGACCCACCCAGCACCCATCTCTCCCCATCCCCACACCCACCCAGCACCCATCTCTCCCCATCCCCACACCCACCCAGCACCCATCTCTCCCCATCCCCACACCCACCCAGCACCCATCTCTCCCCATCCCCACACCCACCCAGCACCCATCTCTCCCCATCCCCACACCCACCCAGCACCCATCTCTCCCGATCCCCACACCCACCCAGCACCCATCTCTCCCCATCCTCACACCCACCCAGCACCCATCTCTCCCCATCCCCACACCCACCCAGCACCTATCTCTCCCCATCCCCACACCCACCCAGCACCCATCTCTCCCCATCCCCACATCCACCCAGCACCCATCTCTCCCCATCCCCACACCCACCCAGCACCCATCTCTCCCCATCCTCACACCCACCCAGCACCTATCTCTCCCCATCCTCACACCCACCCAGCACCCATCTCTCCCCATCCCCACACCCACCCAGCACCCATCTCTCCCCATCCTCACACCCACCTAGCGCCCATCTCTCCCCATCCTCACACCCACCCAGCACCTATCTCTCCCCATCCTCACACACACCCAGCACCCATCTCTCCCCATCCCCACATCCACCCAGCACCCATCTCTCCCCATCCTCACACCCACCCGGCAACCATCTCTCCCCATCCTCACACCCACCCGGCACCTATCTCTCCCCATCCTCACACACACCCAGGACCCATCTCTCTTCATCTTCAGACACACCCAGGATCCATCTCTCCCGCATCCTCGGGCCCACCTAAGACCCCCTTCTGATGCATTCCACGGCTGTTCCCACTCCACCCTGTGCACTGAGCAGCCCTGAGGCACAGCTGAGCTGGCTCCTGACCAGGCAGAGGGTCCTCCAGGGCTTCGGGTGAGTGGCTGCACCCCCCGCTGCACAGACCCGGGGCCGCCTCTGTGGCATATTTTGGCTGTGCACAGAGTCCCAGCCACCCGAGGCCACCAGACCCTGGACAGAGGCCCCAGCAACCCGCGCTTCCCGAGGGCTGGCAGGAGTGGGGGCATGGCAGCGGGGATGCAGGGCCCATCTCGTGGGAAGGGGGGTGGGCTGCCTGGAGATAACAGCATGTGCGTTTATGTCACGTTTGCCATAAGCTGCCAGCATCTGCACTAAGAACTGCCCTGATCATCATGGCTCAGGGCAGCAGATTAGTTTCCTGGGGCCACAGACCCGGCACCAAACAACACACAGTCCTCCCCGGCACCGGAGGCTGCGTCACATCTGAGCATCGCAGGGCCTGGCTTCCTCCAGGGAGGATCCCTCTTGCCTCCTCTGGCCCTGGGGCCCCATTTCCCAGGCTGTGACTGTTTTGGGTGCTGGGGTCTGGAGGGGTTTGGGTGTGGTGTGTCCAGCCAGAGGCTGTGGCCAGCGTGGTGCACGAGGCCATCGTGGGAGACCGGGTTGGGTGGAGCGGGGGCCACAAGGTTTGGTTTCTGTGCCATGGAAGCCACACGGGTGGGGCAGGTGCCCCCGGGGCTCTGACCGTGTTTGGCTGGTTAACAGACGTGAGGAGGCCGCAGCCCTCACCCACCCGAGACTCTGGCCGGAGAGGAACCGGAATGGCCACAGTGCACTCTGAGAATGTGGCCTATTTCTGTGACACGAACCCCTCCTGATCTCAGCGGAGAAACACTCGATGGGCCTAGGGAGTGGGGCTGGGGTGGGGGCCGAGCATGGCTGGGGGTTCCCACAGCCACACCCCTCCCGCTGGTGTCCTGGGCTTCCTCGAGGTCCCCTACCAAGGGTACCCTCGCCCCAGGATTCCTCTCAAGAAACCGGCTCCCCCGGCACCCAGGTCTCAGTTTGGACATCACCTGTACCTCAGTCTCGCGGCTTGTAGGCTGGAATTCTCCCCCAGAACCCCTTCCCATGCACAAGGCAGGAGGCCTGGAAAGCAGCACCCCCTCCGCCAGGGCCCTGAGCTTGGCGAGGGAGGGTGTCCAGTCAGTGGAAGAGTGGACGTGAGGGCGAGTTTCAGGGACAAGACCCCTCCATGCATCCGCAGTGGCCAAGCTCACCTCTGGGCGCTCCCAGGGGCCGGGCCCAAGCCCGGAGGATCTGCCCTCCCCATCCTGGGGACCAAGCTTGCCTTTTGCGGGGACCAATTCACACACATCCCAGCCCAGGCCGGGACTTCTCCGTACCCTCAGGTTCTTAACTGAGCACACGATGTCCTGCCTGAGCTCTGGTCTGCGAGGTCGGTGATAAATTGTTATTTTTAAACTCTTTAATGGTGCATGAGTGACATAATGGGGTTCGCCATCCCATAATTGTTCCAGATCAATAGGGAGCATTCGGGTTCAGCCAGACTGCTGCCAGGCCGCCCTTCGGGGCCCCCGCCTATCCTCAGCTCTGTCTGGATGCCCCAGACGGCACCGGAGACTCGGAGGCCAGGGAAATCATTTCTGGGCAGACACAGTGGCTGAGTCTAGAGAGGCCTAGGGAGGGCTTGGCTGGGCCTGGGTCCCTAAGGGGCTGGGGCTGAGGGCTTTGGCCACAGCCCAGGACAGGGCACATGTCCTCATCTGGCAGCCAGGGCCACCCAAGGTCCAGGCTGAGGCAGGTTCCTGTGGAGCCCCAGGGTCCTGCCCAGAGGCCCTGCTGACGTTGCAGGACACTGAGCTGGGATGGGGGCCCAGGTCCTGGGCTGTGGGGCTGGCTCAGGGCCCTCCCTCTGCGGCCACCCCATCCCCCAGTTAGCAGCAGCCACCAGCCCCTGGGCCCGGCCTACAGGCACCCTTTGCACCTAGAACCTGCCCTACACGTTGTTCACTTGAAAAAGAGGGAAAATCCCAGAATCCAGGAGGCCTGTGTGCCTCCCCCTCCCCCTCCTGCCTCCCGTGTGCCTCCCCCTCCGGCCTCCCATGCACCTCCACCTCCTGCCTCCTGTGAGCCTCCACCTCCCCCTCCGGCCTCCCGTGAGCCTCCACCTCTGGCCTCCCATGCGCCTCCACCTCCACCTCCGGCCTCCTGTGATCCTCCACCCCTGGCTCCTGTGTGCCTCCACCTCTGACTCCGGCCTCCCATGCGCTCCCCTTCCGGCCTCCCGTGTGCCTCCACCTCCTGCCTCCTGTGAGCCTCCACCTCCACCTCCGGCCTCCCGTGCGCCTCCACCTCTGGCCTCCCATGCACCTCCACCTCCCGTGAGCCTCCACCTCCTGCCTCCAGCCTCCTGCCTCCCATGTGCCTCCCCCTCCGGCCTCCTGCCTCTCATGTGCCTCCATCTTCATCTCCATCTCCAGCCTCCTGTGCACAGTTAAGGGTGTCATCCACCTGCAGGTCCCAAAGCTGCAACTGGGCAGCCCTTAACCTGGGACTGGCCCTTGTGGTCCTCGGAAGCACCTGGACCCTCTGCAGGAGCCTTGGCTTTGGGCTTCTTGGGTTCCCAGGTGCCTGGATTCCTGGCTGCCCTGTGTCTCCAGGACCCCAGGAGGGACAGACAGGCTGACCCAGGCCTGGCCCCAGGAGGGAGCCCAGCAGTACCGGAGGCTAGGGGTGGGGGTGCCCTGTGCGGCTTCCCTGTGAGCTACAACAGGCCCCTGGCCACTGCATGCCTAGGAAAGCCCCTCCCCTGCCCCCAGGACAGACCCCTGTACAAAGCTGGGACTTCCCGCCAGGGACCCCTACCTCCTCAGCTGGACCAGGGGAGCCTCCCACACTGCCTGTGCTGCATCCAGGACCCCAGCGTGCAAGGTGGGCCAGGCTGGACTGTGGGGCTGCGGGAGGCCACGCAGCTCTTCAGATCAGCTCCTGGATCAGTGCTGAGTTCAAATTCAAGTTGCTGGAGCAGGCGCTCCAGGCTGGGGGAGGGGCTGGACTCTGCACCGAGGTGGAACCTTGGGCCCAAAGCTGTGAGGTTCAGATTTAACAGCAGGAGACCAGGGCAGTGGCGGGAGGTGCGGGTGATGCGGGGAGGTGAGGGCGGTGCAGGGAGGTGAGGCCAGGGCAGCAGGCACCCTGGTCATCTGCTGAGATGGGAACCACAGGAAGCCACGAGGGCACCAGGCACAGCTGTCCCCACACAGGTGGGCGGGAGCATCAGGGTGCAGATATCCGCATCCCTGGACCTAGAAGCCAGGGTCGAGAGGTCACCATGCACCGACCCCCTTTGAGGCCAGCCCACCCCACCCCACCTCACCCCACCCCACCATGGAGTCCCCTGTGCCCTCCGCACTTCCTGCCTCTCCCTGAAGCTGCCAGGCTGAGGCAAGAGTAGGGGCAGGCTAGGGCCAGGCCCCTCCTGGGGTGGACAGGGGCACACAGTGGAGGGTCTGTGGTGAGGGCCATGGGAGGAGGTGGGGGCGGGGCAGGAGGCACCTGGTCATCTTGGTGCCAGCGCCCCTCCACCCTGCTGGCTGCGCTCAGGGGTGTGGGCAACCCCAGCTGGCACCTGAGCAGGGGACAACCCAGGCCCTGGCTGTCCTGGTTCACACGAGTACTTGGAAGTGCAGGTAATGGCTCAGGTGTGAAACCAAAGCCCAGGCTGCCTGGGGACCTGGGGACCTGGGGACCCCCGAGCTTCCTTTAGGGGTAGGTTGGCACACAGGCCACTGGGCCACAGCTTTTAGAGCAGGCTGGGCCCCCCTGGGGCGGGGACACTGAGGCTCATCCTTGCCTCGAGGTGGTCTCATGGAAGGATGGGGCCACAGCCAGAAGCCTCCACCCACATGGCTGCCTCCCCTCCAGCCAGGCCCTGACACTTCTGCGGGCACCTGCAGGGAGCACCCCAACCCCACCTGAATTGGCAGGTCTGAGTTCAGGAGCAGATGGACCACAGAATGTGCCGGAAGACCCTGCCATCCACCCAGCAGGATCCTGAGTGGCCCGGTGGGGTGCCCTAGCTCCCCTGCCCGGGGCTGGGCTCAGCCCTTGGGGGGTGGACTGCACTGGACCCCTGCCAGCAGGCTCGACATCCTGGGGTCCCGTGCCCTCATGCCAGGAAGCCCTGGACAGCGTCCAAGGGCAGGGGGGGCCTCCCAGGTGGGCCCCCTCTGGCTCTGCGTCCCTGGCAGCCTGACATTCCTCTGTTGGAGCCCATGGGAACCCCCACCTCTGGCCTGTAGGGGCTCTGGGCTGTGGTCACCCCAAAGTGTCAGAACACCACCAGGCACCCAGGATGACCATTGCGCTTTTGGGGAAACAGGCCTGTGGAGATGGGGCTACACCCTGGTCCCTCAGCAACGCTGCTATGTGCAGAGGCCAATAGAGACCCAGGAGGGCTGCACTTGGCATCACCGTGGCCCAGGCAGAGGGGACAGGCAGCTCCTGTCGTCACTGTGGGTCCGGCAGGAAGGTCCCTGCCAGCCCCCAAGCCTGTAGTTCCATCGAAGTAGCTCGGCCTCTCGGCTCTGAGCCACCGCAGCCGCCAGGAAAACAGTCAGCCCTCCCAGGAGCAGGACTCGGGGCCGGGAGCTCCCAGGGCCGCCCCTCCTCTGCCTCCCGTCCAGGTTGAACACCGCCATGCCGTAGCAAGCGGCGAGACGTAGACGTTGGAACCCGGGTTCCTCCACCCTATGGAGAGGAGACGCGGGATGCACGAGGCGTTGCCTGGCAACCCGCTGCCGGCAGGAGCCCCTGTGCCCACGCAGGCCCAGCCCGCCTCCACTCAGCACCTCCTGCTCAGGGCCCCCGCGGGCCAGGCCGAGGGGACTCAGTGCAGGCCCCCTCTCAAGACGGGCCAGGCCGGCTCCCTGTCTCCTGGGGTGGGCTTGGGCCCGAAGGCCCCTGTGGTGGAGCTGAAGAGGCCCTGGCCGAGTCCCCCTGGGCGGGTGGTGTCTGCTGCCGACTCTCCCACTCACAGAGTCCTGGTGTCCAGGGACACCTGCTCCCAAAAGACAGAAAGCCAGGGGCTCCCCACCAAGAGCCCTGGCCGCACTCCATCCTGGGTGACCTCCTTCTGGAGCTCCGGCCTCTGCCATCCTCATGTGAGGAACTGAGGTGGGTGCACGGCCTGCGCCGGCCGGTGGCCAGGTGGTGGGTGGGCCCCATGAGGGGCAGGACCGGCTGATGTCAGATGTGGAAACCCAATTTTAGCCCAGAAGGGGATGGCGCCCGCTCTCGATGTGATGTGTGATCCGAGGCTGACCTGGGCTGTACCTGGGCTGTATGAGGCTCCCAGTGAGAGACCGGTGGCCTCGAAGCAAAGGGTGGAGGGTCCTGGGTCTCCGGTGCCTGAGCCAGCTCCAAGGTCACCTGGTGCGGGAGGCCCAGGTGTTGAGGGCCACCTGCAATGGTGCATCTGGGCCAGAGCTGGAACTGAGAAGCCCCGGCCCCTCCCCCGCCCCCACCTGCCGCCCCGAGGAGCCCTCACCCCACCCAGGACTCACCCCATCCGGGGTCCCTTTGCTGATTCATCTCTGCAGAGGCCTCCCCAGCCCGGGAGACCCACTTGGTCACCCTTCCAAAGGGGTTCAGGGAACTCTCACTCCTTCCGTCCCCTCCAGGGCCCCGCCCCACCCGAGCCAGTCCGGACCTTGGAGATACCGTGGGGACAGAGCCCGCAGGGGACCTGTTGGGGAAGAGCTGGGGAAGTGAATCCGATGACACACCAGGGACTGGAATGGGGCTGGGAGGGAGACAGTGGGCACTGGGAACAGGGCCGTCCTGAGCCAGGTGGGGGAAGCACTGGGGAAGCTGCTGGAAGGTCCCCAAGGATGGGAGTTGGAGCTTCGCGAGAGGAGATGGGGAGGGCAAAGGCCCAGGGTAGCCTGAGGCCAGCGTGGACTGGGCCGCCCCATCTTCAGGGGTAGGAGACACGAAGGGTGCAGGGCGGCCCCAGCAAGCTCAGCAGACTCAGGGAAGAGTCGTTCCTCAGCTCTGTTCCCCACGGATAAAGCTGGACAGAGACCCCATGACACCCAGCTCCAGGGACAGATCCCAGCTCTGGGCCCAACAATCCAGGGTGGGCAGAAGCCCCTCCCACCAGGACTTCCCCTCCCTAAACCCCCATGGCTCTGGGGCTTCCTTCCCACAGCCCCCACTGCAGTTGGGGGGCTTTCTGCTGTCATCCCACCTGGATGGGACAGAGTCCCGCGTTTCCCTCCTCCCAGAGCCAGTGAGTGGCCTCCACACCCCCGAGAACCTGTGTCCCCGGAGGGAGGAGGCGCCCGGCCCTGTCCTCCTGGGACCCTGTGGCCCTGTCTGTAGGGTGGCTTGGGGGGCACAGTGAGGGCCATCCTGGGCCCAGGCAGTGGTCTGTTCTCAGATCCTGAGCCTGTGTCCTCCCCCGAGGTGGGATGTGCTGCCCTCCAGTGTGGACGGAGCTGGGGCGGGGACTGCAGCCGCCCCCTCCCCCTCCCCTGACTTCCCCTTTGTCCAGGCTTAGCCCCACAATCTTATGTGTCCACTGTGACCCCGAGCAGAGATAGCCAGGGGCTGTGGGGATCACCTCGATGGACCCCCATTCTCCACTACAGGGGCCAGGTGCCCTCCCAGGACCCCCTCATTTTGCCCAGGAGGTTGGCAGGGGCAGTGGCTCAGCCCAGGGTTGGGGGACAGCTTGCAGGCCCCGAGATGCCCAGGGCCCTTCCTGGGGTCAGCCTGGGACAGATGCCCAGAGAGACCCCGCACTCAGCACAGAAGGCCTGACCCTCCTGAGGCTGTTCCTGCTGGCCTGGAGAAGGCACAGGTGGGTGCAGGGGTCGGGCAGTTCCATAATTAGGGTGCGGTATCTTCTCGTGGGTCTCGCTAATTAGGAGGAAGCCACATCTTCTAGTCTTGGGTGAGCAGGAGCACCGGGCCTGGGTGACGAAACGAACCCGGGATAGGCTTTGCGGATTGGACACTTGCCTGGGAACCCCTTGGTCTCTTCTGAGAAGTGCTGTGGGCTTTGCCGGGAACCCCCTTGCTGCTCTGTACCTCGTCAGCAGAACATCTGGGCATCCGGGATGGGTCCTCACCGGGACCCTCGCAATTGCTGCTGACTAGAGCACAGTTCTCCCAGTCCAGTCCAGGAAGCCTTCCTGGAAGAGGAGGCGCTGAGCTGCGCAGGGTGGGGAGTGACAGTTGGGGGTCCTGGGGGGCAGGGAGTGTTCATTCCCGGGTCACACTTCACACTTGGGGTCGGCTGGCATCTTACTGAGCACCTACCATATTTAGGAACAGCTGGGCTGGGGGGTGCAGGGAACATGGGGAATGGCCTCGTTCCAGACAAGACAACAGAGGACCTGCTGATAAGGACTTGGGAGAGCACGCAGGAAGCAAGATGACAGGACGAGAGGGGCCCCAGGCAGCCGGCCCCCATGTCCGCAGGACACCCCCATTCCCCTGCTGTCCGGGGGGAGCCGTCAGTGTTGCCGAGCTCTGGGTCCTGGGGGGCACCTGCTGAGGTGCCTGCTTCTCCGTCCCTGGCCTGGTCTTGCCCGTGGTGGCCAGACCCCGTGTCCCAGCCTCTCCATAGCCTGGGCTTCGGGTCCTGACTGGGAGGAGTTGGGGTGGGGGACAGGGCTCCGGAAGCACCCTCCAAAGAGGCAGCTGCATCCCTCCCTGGTCTCCCATGAAGCCCCTCCTGAGAGCCTGGGGGTCCTTGGGCAGACGCCTAGAACCAGCCCTTTATCCCCCAGAGCCTGGGTCTGAGCCCACGTTCCTTCCCCTGTAACACGGGCAGTGGGGACCCTGACTTCTCAGGTCACCAGTGCAGCAGCAGGAGAGGAGATGCCCGGCTCACTGGGGAACGGCCGCCCCACTGGGAGCCCGCACAGACGCCTCCCGCCCACACGGATGCCTCCTGGAAATGGGCAGTGCTCACCTTCCAAGGTATCAGCCCTGGAAACCGAATGTTCTGCTTTGGGATCACGCTGCCCAGGCCACACCATGCCAAGTTCTCCCCCAGCCTCTTTGTGGGGAGGGGGCGCACACTGAACCCCACAGTCCTGACTCCTTGGTGTGTCTGCCCCGAGGAGGCCAGGCTGGGCCGGGGACATGACTCTCCTTAGCAGGGGAGGGCCCAGGGCCTTCCCCCACCCTCCTGCCCCAACCTGGTGACCCTGAGTGCTGAGGGCTTTAACCAGTGATGTCTGCGGTGGGGTCTAAATATCCAGCTCCCTCCTGACCAGACACGGGGGAGCCCGGTGCCCACCGCTCTGGGGCCCCTCTGTGGCCCTCAAACCCAGCCTGGCCGTCCTCCTCCCGGGCCTGTCCCTGCTGCAGGGGTTTCCTGGAAAGGCTGCACAAGGTCCGTGTCTCCGGATCTGCTTCTGGGAGACCTGCCTGATTCACGCAGGGACCCTCAGCCTTCCCGCACCTGTCTCCCTCCCTCTGCTCACCCCGCCTCCACAAGCAGGCTGCCGCCACCCAGTAAGTGCACGGCCACTGTTTGCAGCCCCCACCCCAGGCTCTGGCTGGGTTCACACGGGGGTAGCATGCTTCACCCTCAGGGTGAACACCTGGGCCTCGTGCGTCCCTGCTGGGGCGTCTGCACCACCCTGCGGGCGGAGACTTAGCATGCAGGGCTGTCAGTGGGTGTGTGTCGCCTTGCTCAGTTCTGCCTCTCTTGCCATGCCCCAGGACACCCGCAGCCTGTGTGTCCTCACCCTAGCAGCCAGCCCAGGGCCCGGCACCCACATGACATGCCTGTGGACCAGGAGCCTCACCCCAATGCACCGCGCAGGAGTCCCCGTCTCATCTGCCCCAGCTCTCCTCCAGGCTTCACACCCTGCCCAGCTCTGCTTGCACCCCTGGGAAACAGCTAGCCTGGCCCCCACCCCCCACTCCTTGCTGTCTGGGAGCTTGCCTCCACCTCAGAGAACAGTTTTAGCCACTCCCTTTGGCACTGGATGACGTTTCCTGGGGGCGAGAGGCACAGCTCATTTACATGAAGCAAATGGATGGAGGCCCCTCAGGGACCCGAGCCCCTGTCCTCCAGGCTCGTAGCCATCCTGAGGAGCCTCAGGGCCTGCAGTGGCCATAGCCGTCCCTTCTGGCCTGAGCATCCTCCCAAGGGAGACCTCAGTGTGGAGGCTGGGGACACCTTCACTTCCAATGAGCCGGGGGCAGGCTTCTGTGACCCCCAGAGGCTGCCCAGGAGGCTGGAGGACAAAGACCAAGGGCGTGCTCTGATGTCCATGTGGTGAGGGCTGGGGACAGCTGTGGCCGAGGGAGCCAGAAGGTCGAGGACAAGGACTGCCTCAGGCCCCTGAGTCCCTCTCTTCTGAGGTCTGAGTGGTGGGTGGCCCCATTCCCAGGTCACACGCCAGTGACCTTTGACCCACAATTTACCTGTCACTCTGATAATGTTGCCCCCGCTCAAGGTCACCAGCTTCCCCGGGCCCACCTGCGGACCTGTCCCGCAGCCCCACACTGGGCAGGACCTGGGGAAGACAGCGGATGGGGAGGGCAGAGGGCGCCTGGTGCAGGTCAGCTCCTCCCCAGAGGGCTTGGCCCTCTCTTGTGGTCTGCACCTAAAGCATCCCCCAAGCTGGGCAAGGCTCCCCTAGGTCGGCCAGGGGCCAGATGCAGTGGGGGTGGGGTCAGGGGTGAGCCACCCTCTTGCCCGCTCCGTGCCCACACAGCCAGTGTCCCCCTTCCCAGGCTGGGGCTGCCCTGGCTCCAGAGACCTCAGTATTGATCCGAAGACCAAGATGGCCATCCGGGCTGCCTGCCCAGCACCTCCTGGGAACCTGGGGCCAAGGTCCCGACATGTGCCCAGCTCCAGGGAAGCTCTGGGAGCCCAAATGTGCCCCTTGGGTCTTCCCCGGGCCTGGGTCAGCAGGCCTGCCTGAGCTCAGGGCTGCAAAGGAGCCTTCCCGGGGGCGAGGCACGCACGGGAAGCCCACCGGGCCTGCAGCACCCAGATTCTACAGCAGAGATCCCCAAACTCCCACGCCCCTCCCCCCACGCGTCCCCCTCCCTGCGCCCGCTCCTGGTCCCTCCTGCCGCTGTGCCAGCCTTGGCTCGCTCCTCCATGGGCAGGAGCGACACTCATCTTCCAGCGCAGAACCCCGGGTGTCTCTGGGTGCTGGGTCCCCGCCGTCCTTCCAGGCCTAGGGACAGTGTCTGGCAAGGAGCGGGCACAGTCCCGGGTGAGGGTCTGAGTGCCGGGACCCGCCTGTGTGCACCTGGCCAGACCTGGGGCCTCCCTTGGCCTTGCTGGGGCCCCGCTGGTCCGGAAACTTCCGAGCTCAGCCCATGGACTGGAAGCTCGGGGAACGTGGTGCGTTCCGGTGGCTTCTGTGACTCACGCCACCCCGGGGGTGTGGAATAGCAGCAGCATCCTCTCTCCCCACCCTGAAGACCAGAGGTCCAACAGCCAGTGTAGCCAGGGCCCCTCCCTCCGGCGCCTCAGGGCAGGGTCCTTCCCGCCTCTTCCAGCTCCCAGGTTTCCCGGCTGTGATCTCTGCTCTGAGGATAATCCCACCTGGAGGTCCTCGACGAGGCTACGTTTGCAGATGCTTTTCCCGAGGGCATTCCGTCCTCCCGCTCCCGCCTCCCCCTCAGGTGGAGGGAGTGAGGGCCTTGGAGGCCAGCCCCGGCCAGCAGAGAGGAGACCCCATCCTGCGCCTCCCAGCCCGGCCCCCACCTCTGCTGTCGCTGCAGCTCCGAGGGCAGCCGCATTGCAGGGACAGCAAACCCGACGCTGGTCCTCCCGAGCAGCACGTGCTCACATTCGGGGGTCCACAGCCTGACCCTCCACAGGTGAGAGAGCTCAGGGCTGCTCTCTAAGAGAAGGCACAGCCCACGGAGAGCAGGGATCATGGCCGGCCTGCTCCCGAGATGCGTCTCCCCACGAGGACAAATTCCCCAGCACCAGGACCACCTCATGTCCCCTCGTGACCCCCACAGGGCAGAACCGCCAGGTCTGGGGCCATCTGCTTAATTCCAGAGCAGCTCCCTCCCCTGATCAAACAGGGGCCTGAGATCAAACAATTCATTAGGAACTGGTCCTGGGGGAGCTTCTGCTGCCGGGAAGTGACTGCAAATCAGCCAGCTAGGGGCGGAGGCCGGGCTGGGGCCAGGAAACAAAGAGGGGGCTCAGTGGGGCCGTGCGGGGGCTCAGTGGGGGGCTCAGTGGGGGCTCAGTGGGGCTGTGTGGGGGTTCAGTGGGGGGCTCAGTGGGGCTGTGTGGGGGTTCAGTGGGGGGGCTCGGTGGGGGGCTCAGTGGGGCTGTGTGGGGGTTCAGTGGGGGGCTCAGTGGGGGGCTCAGTGGAGCTGTGTGGGGGCTCAGTGGGGGGTTCAGTGGGGCTGTATGGGGGCTCAGTGGGGGGCTCAGTGAGGGGCTCAGTGGGGCCGTGTGGGGGCTAGGAAGAGGCACTTGGGGACACATGGAGTGCCATGTGGGGTCTGCATAGGGTCTGCCTAGGCTCCACATGGGATCCTCATGGGGTCTGTGGACCCACGTGCTCAGCCACGTCTGCAGGACCACAGCACCCACAGCGCTAAGTGCATGGGCCACACAAGGTCAACACCTTTTAGCACATTCTGGGGCTCACCTCCTGCCGGTCCTCTGCTGAGATGGACACTGTGTCCACTCCTGGCTCTGCCCACCCGGGGGGTCCAGGTGAGCTCCTGAAGCTACAGGGTGACAGCTGCCCCTCTAGGCTCAGCTCAGAGCAGGCCAGGCAGGCTGGCGGGGAGCTGCCACGAGACACACCAGGCGGAGGCCTGGGCGGCCCCTGGGCCCCAGGTGAGCCGGCTGTTCCACTCTTGCTTACAAAACACCAAAACGCCAACTGCCTGCGGCGCAGCTCCTGTGTCTCACAGCCATGGCCACCCTCTGAACAGGGACAGTGACTAAAACCATGTCACAAGTGAGGAGTCCAAGGCTCAGGCGGTGAGGACACCTGCCCGGGTCACGCAGCCAGGAGGGCGTCCTGACTCAGACCCGATCTGCGCGGAGTGGCCCGCAGAGGCCTCAGCCAGGTGTGCCGGGGCTGCAGAGTATCTGTGTGGCTCAGGCCCCTTCTGTCTCAAGGCTTCTTCCTCCTTGCCCTGTTTCTCCCCCAGCCCTGATCACGCCCCGAGGGCCAGCCCAGGACATCGGACATGGGAGGCCTCAGGAAGCGTTGGGTCCACCTGGAAGGCAGCCACGGGTCTGGCCTGTGTGTAGGGCCGTCTGTCCAGTTCCCGGGGCCTGCAAGACATCGTCAGGCCTGCTCACCGCTTCCTCCCTGCGGGCTGGCTGACACTCTGCAGAGCTGCTCCACCCAGCCCTGGGGGGCTCTGTGCCGGAAGCCACCCCCAGGGAGACCCAGAGCAAACACCACAGGGGCCCACGGTCATGAGGGCCGTCCTGCCGGGAAGTTAGCATGGACACAGGACATCAGGGCTGCAGGGCCCCCAAAGGCTCCCTGACACCCACAGAGCCCACCCTGGCAGAGCCAGCCGCGCCGCACTGGGAGGAACTTGGGCATCCTGGGCCTGGGGTGGGCGCTGCCTCCCCTCGGTGCACCGCAGAAGCCCTGCTCGGTGGGGTCTTCATGGACCACTGAGGGCAGTGGGACCAGGCACCCGCCCACCCCACCCAGATCTGCGTCCCTCTGGAAATTCTAGGAGAACCACCCCCCCCCACTCTCCCCGCTGGCCAAAGACCAACCATTCCCAGCTATGAAAGGGAGGGTGGGAAGAGGCTGGTGGTCCGTCTTCTCGGGAGAAAGCGGTTAGGGATGCTGTCTGATGAGCTGGCCAAGGTCCAAGCTGCCTCAGAAAAAGCCCCAGCCTCTCCCACCGTCTCAGCTCCCAATTCAGGGCCACACCCTCCCAGTTCACCCGTGCACTGTGAGCCAGCAGCTTTGGAAGAGCGAGCCCCACTGCCCACCTGTGCATATAGGATGCAGCCTTCCCCTCCGAAAGGAAGCCAGGGAGGGCCTGCTGTATACCTGGTAGGTGGGGCCTGGGTGTCCCGGCACTGGAGTCCCTGCCTCCCAATTTCAGTGGCCGTCCCGCCGCTGCCCTGGCCGCCCCACCACTCCATCAGCTCCTTCTGTTTAAATATTTAATCCAGTTAAATATTAAACTTCTTCCAAGTCCCAATTACAGCCGATCCATTCTCCACCACAGCTGTGCAAGCCAAGCTGGCGCTCTGTCTCCCACCCTGAGGGCGTTGGGTGGCAGACCGGGGGATGGGGTGCCTGGAGGCGGGGGCTCTTGGTGTGGACCCAGTTAAGCTCCATCCCCTGCCCTTTACCTGTGAGACCCCCACCCAGCACCGCAGCCCCACACATAAACGGTGGGCAGGGCAGGGGAGCCAGGCGTCCCAGGCGTGGGTCCCCTCCAGTTCCCAAGGACTCCATTGGCTGGAAACATGCGAGAACCATCCTCCGCAGCTCACACCACGGTCCGCCCTGTGCCCAGGGCCTGGGATCACCCAAACCCAGGGTTCCTGTTTTCCCAGTCAGGGCCGGAGGTGGGTGAAAACCTTCCCTGGGGTGAGGCTGGGCCACAGAGTGGGGAGCCTGAGAGCCAAGACCTATTTCTGTTCACAACTGGCTTTCTTTCCTTTCCCTCCTTCCCTCCTTCCTTCTCTTTTCTTTCCTTTTCTTTTTTCCTTTTGTTTCTTCTTCTGAGCCAGGGTCTCTGTGTCGTCCAGGCTGGAGTGCAGTGGCGTGATCCCAGCTCACTGAATGAAGCCTCCACCTGCTGGTTCCACTGATCCTCCCACGTCAGCCACCCAAGGAGCTGGGCCCACGGGTGCTGGCCACCATGCCCGGTTATTATTATTATTATTGTTGTTGTTGTAGAGATGGGATCTTGCTTTGTTGCTCAGGCTGGTCTGGAACTCCTGGCTTGAAGCGACCCTCCCTCTTCCACCTCCCAAAGTGCTGGGGTGCCAGGTGTGAGCCCCTGCACCCAGCCTCTAAGATATTTTAAATAGCCGGGCGCGGTGGCTCACGCCTGTAATCCCAGCACTTTGGGAGGCTGAGGCGGGTGGATCACGAGGTCAAGAGATCGAGACCATCCTGGTCAACATGGTGAAACCCCGTCTCTACTAAAAATACAAAAAATTAGCTGGGCACGGTGGCGCGTGCCTGTAATCCCAGCTACTCGGGAGGCTGAGGCAGGAGAATTGCCTGAACCCAGGAGGCGGAGGTTTCGGTGAGCCGAGATCGCGGCATTGCACTCCAGCCTGGGTAACAAGAGCGAAACTCCGTCTCAAAAAAAAAAAAAGATATTTTAAATATATTCAAAAGTACAGAAAACAACAGCACTAACTGTGTACCCCCTCTGAGCACCCCGACCCCACGGTGGGGCTGCTGATGTGTTGAAATCCACAGGGTGGATGCCCCTGACTTGACCGGCCCCTTCCGCCGGCCGCCATCCTCACTGTTCCCGTGGGAGAGCCGCGCACAGAGGAATAAATGTGTGCATTTGTAGATGGACAGCAGCGTATTGTGAGTTTCACTGATGTTAGCACATGGTTTGCAAACACTGATCGAATACGGGATGGGGTCTGCCCTAAGTCCCACGTGGCCGATGGATCCTGACGGGCGCCGTGGCTGCTTTCGCCCGACTCACGTGGCAGCGTGGCTGCTCCCCACCTGCTGATTCCTCCCCAGTGAGAGTGTTATCTGTAAATCTGATACTTGATTCTCAGATCAACCAGTACTCGCCCTGGGGCAAATTAGATTCATTAAACTCAAGCTTCTTTCGGCTTCTACACTCCTTGTAAGTTCACATAATTTAACTTTCAGTCGTGGCTGTGTGTTAACAAGCAGCTCACTATTTTCTTTTCTTTTCTTTTCTTTTTTTTTTTTTGAGATAGAGTTTCACTCTTGTTGCCCAGGCTAGAGTGCAATGGTGTGATCTCGGGCCACCACAACCTCAGCCTCCCGGGTTCAAGTGATTCTCTTGCCTCAGCCTCCCAGCTAATTTTGTATTTTTAGTAGAGACGGGGGTTTCTCCATGTGGGTCAGGCTGGTCTTGAACTCCCAACCTCAGGTGATCTGCCCGCGTCAGCCTCCCGAAGTGCTGGGATTACAGGCGTGAGCCACTGCACCCAGCCTGTGTTTTCTTTAAGAAACATTTGCCTACACCAAGATCATGCAGCTATCCCCGTCTAATTTCCTACGGAAGCTTCGCCGCTTTTCCTCTCAGCCGAAGGGTGCGCGTGTGGCGTGAGGCAGGGGCGGCCGCTCATTCTGGGTTTATCCAAGTTTCCCAGCACCGATCGCTGAGAAGCCTCCTCCTCCAGGGTCTGCGAGGCAGCTTTGCTCTCTCCGCGCTTTCGAGCTTTTCTCTCTATTTCTAGATGTTAGCAGTTTGACTGAGATGGACTCGGGAGCGGTTTTCTTGGTATCGATCCCCCTTTGGGCGGGTTCGGCTTTCTGGACCCTAAGTGCACGCTTTCTTCCCAGCACATTTGGGAAATCTGGGGCTGTGCTCTTGAACTGCTTTTCTGTCCTGGTCTTGCTCCTCATGAGGCCTCTGAGGCCCCACAGTATATGCATTAAACCACTTGAACTTCACAAATGTCTCTGAAACGCTATTTCCCTCCTGCCACGCTCCCCGTCGAGGGCTGTCGACCGTCCCTCTTGGCCTGACCACTCAGGACTCAAATCCATTGCTCGAGACCAGAGTTCGAGGCCGAGACCCCCAGGGACGGCTGCCCGCAGACGGCCCGGCGCCTCCTCCTGACGGCACTCAGGACCTCCCACCTGCACGCTGCCCTTGCCCTGCTCCCGTCTTCCCCAAACGCTGCTCACCCCCACTCCCCACCCCTGGCATCCCCCTGATGTTCAGGCCGGGGTCTCTCCAACCCAGACTCACCGGACCTGGCACCTGTCTCCCGTGACTGACCTCTGACTGGGTCTGACAGCAGGGGCTGCTTCTAACTTCTCCCCTAGCCTGGCACTGTGTACCCAGCCAGGACGTCCTGGGCTCATGAGGAACACGGAACCTTCCAGAAAGAAGCATCCTACTTCCCGGCATCCCCAGGCCGGGGGACTCCAGAGTCCTCTTTACTAGCCAGCCTCAGCTCACCCAGAGGGATAAGTCAGGCACCAAGGCCAGTGGGGGTGAGGACAGGCAGAACCCTTGGGCCTGCGGGCAGGGGCTGGACCACAAGGTGGCTGGGCTCTCTGCCACCCTGGCCCCTCCTGCAGCCTGTTGGACCCATCGGGAGGCCAACACCCCTGCCCCTTCCCCCAAGCCTGCGAAAGCTCAGGAACCCTACCAGACATCGCCCAGCAGTGCCCAAGCCTGAGAAACTCAGCACCCTACCAGACATCACCCAGCACTGCCCCAAGCCTGCGAAACTCAGCACCCTACCAGACATCGCCCAGCACTGCCCCAAGCCTGCGAAACTCAGCACCCTCCCAGGCGTCACCCAGCACGCCTGGCCAGGAACAAGAGCTGCCGCTGTTGCTCTGCTGAGCTGCTCCACGCCCCCAGCAGCCCGCTGGAGAGGGGCCCTTTCTGCATCCTTATCTCAGTAATAAAGCCACAGAAGAGGCTATAAATCCAGGAAAATTAAAGCTTCAGCATCTCCCGGGCAGAAATCTGCGTCGCCTGCAGCTGCTGTCTGACCGTGGGAGGGGCAGGAGCTGGAGGAAGGTCACGGGAGGCAGGCAGGGACTCCTGGAAAGGCCATCCCGTCGTCATACCCGGGATCTCCACACTGGCCCCCGGGACTGGGCAGGGGATCCCCACCCCCATCTGCAAGGCCCGTCCAGGAGGCATTGCCTGTTCCCAAGTACCCAGCCTGTGCCTGCGATGGGGGCTCAGGATCCAAATGTGAGGCCGAGGGGCTGAGCCTCCAGCGTAGGCCCAAAGCTCAGCCCCGACGGCGCCTCTGGCTGCATCAGGCACGGGCCCAGGGGTGCAGGTGCCCCCGAACCCTCGGAGACCCCAGCAGGGGGCAGGTGCTTCCCAGAGAAAGCTCCCCTTGGGGGTCTTCCTTAAAGTGGGCCCTGTACTCACCATGGCCACTGCTGCCTGACCCTCTGCCTAGCCCACCCATCCCTGCTGCCTTGAGTCCTCACGCTTGGAAAGCATCCCCTGCAGCCTGATCCCCTGATTCCACCAGCCCACGCCTCTGAGCTGAGACCGTGCCTCCCTGGGGCTGGGCGGGGTGGGGGGCAGCCAGCAGGCTGAGATCTGCAGACACCAATGAACCTGCAGCCTTAATTTCCAACCCCAGGGCTGCACTGCTGCACCCACACCCAGACCACCCAGCAGCACCTGCTGCCCCGTCCCATCCTCTTCCCCCAGAGCCCCTGCCCTCTGCTGTCGATGGCAGGAGCGGCCTGAGAAATTCATCCTCACTGCAAAGGGCGATGGCTGCCGCTGCTTGGTACACAGCCCCTCCTGGGAAGATACGGCCTGGAGAAAGGAAAACCTGGTGGGCGCAGCGGCTCACGCCTGTAACCCCAGCACCCTGGGAGGCCGAGGCAGGCAGATCCCAAGGTCAAGAGATCGAGACCATCCAGGCCGACATGGTGAAACCCTATCTCTACTAGAAATACAAAAACTAGCTGGGCATGGTGGCACGCGCCTGTGGTCCCAGCTCCTCGGGAGGCTGCAGCAGAAGGATCGCTTGAACCCAGGAGGTGGAGGTTGCAGTGAGCTGAGATTGCACCATTGCACTCCAGCCTGGGTAGCAAGAGCGAAACTCAGTCTCAAAAAAAAAAAAAAGAAAAAGAAAATGAAAAGAAGCCTGGGCAACGTAGCGAGATCCCGTCTCTACAAAAATAAAGAACATTACCAGGTGTGGCGGTGCCTGTGGTCCCAGCTACTCTGGAGTCTGAAGTGGGAGGATCACTTGAGCCCAGGAGGTCGAGGCTGCAGTGAACCGTGATGGCACCATTGCACTCCAGCCTGGGTGTCAGAACAAGACCCTGACTCTAAAAAAAAGAAAAAGAAAAAAAGAAGAGGCCATGAGGACAGCAACACTCAGTACTTAGTATTTAACTTACAGGAATGACGCATTAATGGTGGAATGTCGGAGCGAGGGGAGGCTTCCCGGTGCCGGCACAGCGTTTGGGAGTCCTGCCCTCCAGGAGAGAACGAACAGCTGCCAGCCCTCCAGGGGCTGAAGGCTGGTGGCTCCACGGTGGTCTGGGTGTGATTGACTGGCAAGGACTGTTCTGTGTGTCCCACAGGCAGCTCTGCGACCCTGCAGCCCATAGAGGGAGAGGCTGGATACACGAGGGGTCTATGCACCCCAGGTGGCAGCCGGCTTGCTAAGCGAGGGCACTGCCAGCTCTAAACAGACACTCACCCACCAGCCTGCCACTGCCGCTGCTGGAACGCGTATCTCGGGGAAAAGATGCGCTTTTCTTTTACCGCTGCCCCCGACAACAATTAGAAGCTGATTTAGGGCCGGATACAGCGGCTCACGCCCGTAATCCCAGCACTCCGGGAGGCTGAGGCAGGAGAATCGCCTGTGTCCCGGAGGTGGAGGCTGCATGAGCTGTGGTCACCCCACTGCAGTCCAGCCCGGGCGGCAGAGTGAGACCCTATCTCCAAAAATAAAAAGTAGGCTGGGGGAGGTGGCTCACGCCTGTAATCCCAGCACTTTGGGAGGCTGAGTGGGCAGATCACCTGTGGTCAGGAGTTTGAGATCAGCCTGGCCAACATGGAGAAACCCCATCTCTACTAAAAATTTAAAAAAAAAAAATTAGCTGGGTGTGCTGGTGGGCACCTGTAATCCCAACTGCTGGGGAGGCTGAGGTAGGAGAATCGCTTGAATCTGGAAGGCAGAGTCTGCAGTGAGCCGAGATCGCATCACTGCACTCCAGCCTGGGTGGCAGAGCAAGACTTCGTCTCGAAATAAATAAATACATAAATTTAAAAAGCTGATTCCCTGGCACAAGATGGAAAGGACAAAAGCCTCTGCCCGCCCCTTGCTGTCTGAAGCCCAGAGGGAATGGGGAAAACGATCAGGGTGCTTGATTCGGCCACGCAGCAGGGAGGGGTGAAGGTGCGCGTCACCCCGGCTGGAGCTGAGCACGTGTGTCAAAGCTCATCACGCTGCACGTGCTTCACACCTGGGAGGCTTATTGTGTCTCACAACACAGCACCGTTCCAAAGACGCACTGGAACGGACACACTCTGTGCGGTGCACCTGCTGGGTGGACTAGTACTCAGCCCTGAAGAGGAGGCGTTTACCCACACTCCCAGGGTGAACCTCGAAGCATCACGCCCGGGGAAGGAAGCCAGCCAGTAGACAGGATCCTTGCACACAGCAGGAGGCCCCCATTTCCCTGGGTAGAGCGAGGCCGGTTTGGGGCTTGCAGGCAGCTGCCAGGACCCAGATGAGAGGAACCACCAGGGTCACTTGGGCTCAGAGGCCCCCAGCTGGGATGACTGGGACCTCGTCCTACATGGGTGATGGGGGCCAAGGCAGTCAGAGTGTGGCCCAGGCCCCAGCTGGGCCCGGGGTAGAGGAAGGGCGACCCACCCAGAGGAGACCCTGTGCCCTGGAGCCCACTGAGTGAAGCCACGCAGCTTGACTGGCTTGCACCTGCCCTCGGTCCACACGCCCATCCTGCACTGCCTCCAGCACACACTGGCCTCCAGGTGGAGCCGCGGAGGGGAGAGGAGAGACTCGCACCCATGGCCCCAGCCGGCCATGACACTCTGCTGAGTCCCACTCCGAGGCCACCACTTGCACCCCACATGTTCTCCAAGGCCCCTGGAGATCTCTAAGGGTGGGGAACCCCCAGCTTC